CTCCCGGCCGATCTCCCCTCGCACTCGTAGCGGAATCTCATCCCGCGCTGCTTCGGCTGCTCCGTGATCACCAAACGCGGCTTTTTTCCCGATTTTTCCGGTTTTTCCTCTTTTTCCGGTGCTCGGGGCCAGCGCGGGAGCGGCACCGGGGATAAGGAGAGGCCGCTGAGGGTTTGAGCCAAACGCGGCTCCCGGGAATCGCCGCCCGCGGGGTCGGAACCGCGCGGGATTAATTTGGGGAGGGGTCTGGGAGAGGGGTCGGGCTGGAAACCGTCCTCCTTCATCAGCTCCTCCAGGATTTCTGGGGGGAAAAAGGGGGATTTTGGGGGTTTGGGGGGGGATGGGGGGGCAAGGGGGGGGGGGGATCCCGGGGGGAGGTGGTGATGGGGGTCGGATCCCAAACCTTGGAGCGATTCCCCGCCCAGATCCCAAACCCCGGACTGAATTCCAGCCCAGATCCCAAATCTTGGAGGGATTCCCACCCCAGAATTCCAAATTCCGGACTGAATTCCAGCCCAGATCCCAAATCCGTGCGCGATCCCAGAGCTCCCCGTCCCTTCTGCTCCGTCCCCCGCCCCAATCCCCGCCTGGGTCCGCCCGGGGATGGGATGAGCCCCCTCCCCCCATTCCCCAAAATCCTTCTCGCGGCTCCAGGATCTCGAAAATTCCCGGGAAACGGTGAAAATGTCGAATCTCTCCGCTCGCGCTCACCCAAATCATCTGGAAAAAGGGAAAAACGATCCCGTGAGGAGCCTCCCGCCCCTTCAAATTCCCGGGAAACGGTGAAAATGTCGAATCTCTCCGCTCGCGCTCACCCAAATCATCTGGAAAAAGGGAAAAACGATCCCGTGAGGAGCCTCCCGCCCCTTCCCGGGGCTCCCGCTCGGTGTGACCGGGGAGGGGACCTTACCTGTCCCCGGTGCTCCGTGGGCCATGGCCAGCCCGGGATCCTGCACGGCCGCTCCTGCCGGGACAGCGCACCGGGATCGCGACATCAGCACCGGCACCGCCACCGGGAAACTCCAGAACGGAGGTGTCCCGGGAAACCCGCGGGATTCCCAGCACCGGGATCGGCGCCCGAGCGGCACCGGACCGTGACACCCCCGGGACCCCCCCGCCCGTCCCAAATCCCGTTTCCTCCCCGGTTCCGCTCCCCCCCGGGGCGGGTCCCGGTGCCAGCGGGGCCGCGCTCACCGAGCGGCAGCGCCATGTCCCGGTGGCTATCCCGGTGGCGGTGCCGGTGGTCCCGGAGCGGCGGTACCGGTGGCGATCCCGGAGGTGCCGCTGGCGATCCCGGTGGCGATCCCGGTGGTGTCGGTCCCGGTGGTGTCGGTCCCGGTGATCCCGGAGGTGGCGATCCCGGTGCCGGTCCCGGTGGTCCCCGAGGTGCCGGTCCCGGAGGTGGCGATCCCGGTGGCCGTCCCGGTGATCCCGGAGGTCCCGGTCCCGGTCCCGCCGCCGCCCCCCGAGGCCGCGCCGCCGCCGGACCTGGAAATCCCCGCGCGGGCCGCGCCGCCATTGGCTGAGAGCGCCGTGACGTCACCGCCGGGGGCGCGGTCGGGGAAACCCCCACCGGGAGCGCACCGCGCGGTCATTGGCTGAGCGCGCCGGTGACGTCACAGAAAACACC